AGTTTTGTATTTACTATTTATGAACATTTCATCCAATACTATTAGTATTATGTGAAGCCGTGTTGACTTCATGATGACGACGATGAATAAGGCATTATTTCCCAGTTAACTTCTTATTCAGCGCTTAAGATATTTCTACTGAAGAACAGTAGTAATAAAAGACAAATAAGAAATGTGATGGAAGAGTTCATTTCAGGTATTCAACTCCAAGGAGATAGAGGGTGATATTAAATAAATGGAAGTAGTGTGGTTTTTAACTACTTGAAAAACGTTTAGTTCACAGAGCGATTTGTGTTATGTTAATGTACTGTACGACTATAGCATTGATTAAGTATCAGGTGTGTACCAAGTACACTATATATATATATATATATATATATATATATATATATATATATATATATATATATATATATATATATATATATATGCTCATGCCTTCTCATTGAAACTCCAAGCCTTCTTTAAGCTAGTCACTAGTGAAAACAATGTGTAGTGGTCTTATAATCTCAAGAAATAACTGAACTGAAATTCGATGAATGTTGTAGTTCGACTTAATGGTTTAAGAATAATTTGAGTACACATTGCTGTAGACTCCAAAATCCGAAAGAAACAACTATCGAATGTCACTTGGTTTTCAATCTCTTTTTGCAAACTTATGTTAGTTATGTAATGAAAAAACTTCATATTTAATAACGATTGATTGAAATTGGTATAAAACAAGGAAGTAGCTTAATCTGAAGTCAGTCAGTCAGTCAGCTACAACGCAGGACCAGGCACATATATGCATCGGTCCAGGTTGCCATACCGCATTAGCACAACAAGATGAACACCGGATTCATAGGAGTGGTTAGGTCAAAGGTGCTAATATATAGGAGAAAGATTGCATATGAGGATATAGTACAGGAAGAAAGAATTAGTTAGTAGAAATAAAGATGTGAAGTGATTTTGATCTTTTGGTTTAAGGGAAGACAGGGAGTGTATACACCGACGCCATTGTGATCGATTCTGAGCCATGTCACCAAGAGTCTCCAACCATTGGTTACGGTAGTCACGCGGACCCCAACCAAGTAGTCTGCATCTACCAACATGGCTCAGACTAGAAGTTAGTGACTTCAAGCACTGATGCCAAGTTTTGGTCTGGCCGCCCCTTACTTTCTTCCAACTATCCCCAACACCGGTTAGCATTGCTCGTCGTGGTAATCGGTGTTCGGGCATACGTAACACGTGGCCCAACGATCTCAGTCGATGAAGATCCGCAACCTCATCGACTGATTTACCATCGTTCCCTAATACCCTGCGTCTAACCTCACTATTACTTACCCGGTGATCCCAGCAGACGCCAGCAATATTTCTGAGGCATCTGTAGTCAAATACTAGTAGCTTACGGGTGTCTTCTACTCTTAAAGGCCATGTTTCTCTGCCGTAAAGTAAAACAGAACGGACTGCCGCGCAGTATACTCGTCCTTTTATTGATAGACGGATATCTCGCCTTCGCCAAAGGTGACGTAAGTTGGCAAAAGCCAAACGAGCTTTTCGAATCCGTGCTGAGATTTCGTCAGACACCAACCCATTAGGGCTGATCAGACTTCCAAGATAAGTGAAGTTGTCAACGCGTTCGACTACTTCACTCCCTATCCGTAGTTCAGGTGTTGACGCAGACCAGTCCTGAAGCAACAACTTACATTTAGAGGGAGAGAAGCGCATTCCAAACATTCTGGCATGTTGCTTAGTACTACCAAAAGACTCTGCATTTTGTCAGCGTCTTCACTAAACAGGACTATGTCATTTGTGTATTCTAAGTCGATAAGTGGACCTCCTGTTAGGAGATCAATACCCGAGAATTCCGTCGAGGAGAATGTTATTTCCATCAGTAGGTCTATGATGAAGTTAAACAGAAATAGAGAAAGTGGACAGTCTTGACGGACACCACTTGAGGTTGCAAAAGTAGATGACAGTTCGCCATAAGCTCTGACTCGACTAGTAGTGTTCGAGTAAAGAGCCTTTACAAGGTTTATGTACTTCTGCCTTTCAATGACAGACACTGCCACAGAATCTCGCGGTCTACAGAGTCAAATGCTGCTTTTAATTCAAGAAAGACCACCATTGTCGGACGTCGATAAGTATGCCTATGTTCTAGAACCTGACGAATAGTGAATATGTGGTCGATGCAGCCGCGACCAGGTCTGAAGCCAGCTTGGTTCTCTCGTGTTTGCAGTTCACTAGTCTTAGTTAGGCGTCTGATAATTACTGAGGCTAGTTAATCTGAAGACATTTTATTAAATATTAATTTCACATCAAATGAATATACTACCTTGTATTAACAGTAATGTTAAGTTTCGCATCAATATCATGAAAACACATTTCGTTTATGCATGCTGCTATTGATAACTGTGAACAATAAATTCATTTGTACTGTTGGGGTTTTTTTAATGTATATATTTTGAGTTAATATTCCAAGTACAACACGCTCGTCAGCTAATGCTGTCTTCTTACAAACATTTTAGTAATCTAATTCATTTCGATAATGTAATGAGATGAAAGCTATCAGAATTATGTGATATATTTACGCAATACATTTCGAACAATCTGATCACACATATACTTGTTAAGATATTTTTTTATATGAAAAATAAAAGGTCAACTAGATAAGTTAAAGGTAATCCGTACACGAAAACAACGTGATAACCACTCTGGGTAATAAATCAGTATTACCATGGTAGGTTAAGGGTAAGAACAAATCGTTTTTGAACACATAAAGGGGGTTTCAGTTTCCATATAAGCCAATGCTTCAATAAATCAGTATACTTCACTGATTGAAATCATGAGTCAATTGAAGCTAGACCACCATGGAAAACCTGGAAGCACTGGATGGCCGTTTCGCCCTAGTACGGGACTCCTCAGGAGTGCGCACCCACGATATTCGAACCCAAGACCTATCGGTCTCGCACCAGGCGCCCAACCAACTAGACCAGAGCCAGCATCCGACGGTGTTAATATCTAACTTCAACCAATCCACGATAAATTGAGAGCAAAATACAAATAAATAATTTACGAGGATAAAGAACAAATGAGCAGTATCAATAATCATAGTTATCATTATACGTCAAAGATGGATAGTGGCTAGCAGTGTAATCAAGAACGCTCGTCCTTGTTTGCTCTTACCCTCAACCTACCCTGGTAATACTGATTTATTATCCAGAGTGGTTATCACATTGTTTTTGTACACTTTATTTTTCATTGTTACGGCTTACCTTTAACCTGTCTAGTTAACCTAATTTTCATATAAAAATGTTTTAACAAGTATAGATGTGTGATTAGATTGTTCGAAATGTATTGAGCAAATACATCACTTAATTCTGATAACCTTCATCTTCTCATTGCATTATCGAAATTTATCAAAGGGACTAATTGTTTTAAACATCTGATTAATATTACATAGCTTTGTTGGTATTTTTTTTACATTACTGGTTATTTGTTTCTAAATATTTGATGATCGACTATAATAGAAGCATATCAACTAGATATCTTCTTGAGAAGCTTTAACCAAGGAAACAACTGAAAATAAATTTATAAGATTTCAAACTTTTTAATAGTATTTTATTTGTGTTATTGTTAGAGTTGTTGTTATATTACTATTATTAATTATTAACGTATACAGATTATTTTAATATAATTGCACATACCCTCCTCTCTACGTTGGCTAATTCACTAAAAGATTAATTTAGGTCATTATATGAATAACTAATACCCAAATACATGACTATTAATTGAAATGAATCTTTGTTAGAATTTATATATAAATCAGGAATTTTATTTTAGTTCAATAAATTTACTCTAATTTCCTTCTACGAAACTTTTATCTTATATAATTATTGGTGAAGTGTGGCTGGACAAATAATGTTTTATAGCACTTTATATCGTTTTTATTTTATTAGAGAAATATATAATAGAGTGAATTTGATACTCATTAAAGGTTTCAGTATTAATATATTCGGATATGCACTCACCTCAATTATCAAGCATGGATTCAAGAAGGAAAACTTACTTCCAAATGTTAGCTGTGACATACTAATAAAGGACAGGTATGAGGTTGCAAAGGCATACGGTATGTGAGAAGTACAAGTGTGCAGTGGCTATTATTCACTTAATCAAGCATCTATATCTCTTTGACTGGTCAATCCAAGAACTATCATCAGCTTGTTTACATACGATATTCATCAAGCTCAACAACTGTACGAGAAAGACAATAAAATAAATAATACTGTAGGATAGAAGACAAGATCCCTGATATCAGTGAGAAATAGACAACCACTGAGTAATCATATTACCACCTATCAATTTTATTTAATATGTATACTATACAAAAATATTTTAAAACTTTCAGCAAGTATTCGTTATTCTTTAAACGAATTTTCATGTTAATTTAAAAGGTTTTGCACAAAACTGAATTAAAGGAATAGCAGTGAATATATTTTTTTTTCTAAATTTGTGCTCATTATTTACACAAGCAAATAATTAATAAATATGATCACGTATATTTCAAAGGCGATATGAAGACGACTATCAAGTTAAAAACGGAAGAGAAAGATTGAGAGCAAAATACAAATAAATAATTTACGAGGATAAAGAACAAATGAGCAGTATCAATAATCATAGTTATCAGTATTATCATCACAATATTTATCTCGTTATACACAGCAACAACAAAAAAAAACAAGTCAAGTAGTGAACAAAGTAACTAACAAAAGAAAATACACTGAAGATCCTCTTGTCCTTTTTTTTTTTAAAAAAAGAGAAACACCATCACAAATAGTTCATATTTGTGCAAAATTATTTCAATAAAAACAAGATTAAAGAACGAATGGGAAATTTGATTTAGTAGCAAAAGGGGTCGATAAAATATATATATATATATGTACATACATATAGGTAATCTTCATTAGCAGTCAACATTTGGTTAGTTAAAAAATACTACTTTTTATTTCCACGCATCATACCAGTATTATATGGATTATGCCCGACAGTTCCATTCAGATTATAACTTGGTCGCATAGGTCTATTATTAAGGGCTGAATGATATGGATGATGCTGCATAGAATGTGGATTATTATACTGCATCATATTTGGATTATTCTGATTGATATTTCCACCAGAAGGCATCATCCAATGACCCATATTCCCACTGTTATTAATATCGATGGATGATGAACCAGGAGCAGAAGATGAAGAAGACGACGGTGCTACACCCATATTACCATAATCCATATTCATCGGACCCAATTCGATGGTGGTTTAAAATTTGGTGCTTTATTATGACGCTAGGTAAAAAAAATAAACACAATAAAAACGATCTCATTTTACAAACATTAAACCTAAACGATTGTATTGAAGCTCAAGGAAGTAGGTTTTCATTAGAAAATAAAGCGGACAGAAATAACAACACATTTATGTCAAAAACTTAGGACATTACACCAAACTACTTAGATGGTATGCTTTGTTGGGTTTTTTTAAAGGTCACTTATGTTATGAGATGATATCAATTGAAGTTCTGCTGAAAAACAGAGCTATTTGTCAATCTGACAACAAATGATTAGTAAATTTTCCTTATAGCATAACTTCAATATCTTTCTATTATCGTTAAAAGATATACATAAATATGAGTCCAGTAATATTAAAATTATTTACCGATGAGGATTAAATATCAGAGTAAAATTAATGGATTACAAAATTTGTCGCAGTTTACCAGATGAACAAATTATCTTTTGAATACAATTAGGGTTCAATGTTATTATATTATTAGGTTAGTAAATATTTTAAATTAAAAGAAAAATCTATGAATATTGTAGTGAACATAAAAGGTGTAATCTAGGACATTCGTTTTCACCGCCTTGAACCATAATATTATTCTATAGAATAACAACACAATTGAATAGCTAAACACCATTTTAAAAAAAGAAGTAAAACACCACTAATCAGGAAAAGTACATTTTAATGATTTTCTTGATTACCGAATTCGATAGATTGAACATAAAAATAAACTAATTCATTAGTAGTAAATACTAATAATTTATATTTTAAACTAATCTCAAGAAGATATCTGCAAAATCTTAGAACATTTATAGTCGAGTGATTTTTCTCTTTTTTCAGAAAAGAAAAAAAAACAGATATACATAAAAATATTTATGATTACAGTGTAGAATAGAAAAAGAAAACTATATTCTTGTAATGTAGATTTCTACAAAAAAATTTGTACTAAGAAAAATGCACAAATCACTACAGGACAAACAAACAATATGTATATATATAATTGAGTTATATTAGCTGTGATTAGTAGTGAAAATATATTGTTTTGGTTATTTATTACTCACTTTGTTTTTGTGCCAGTATTCCTAAAAGAGGATTATAAGAGTATAATTATTTATCATTATGTATTATGCGCTAGTCTTATAATGGAGTGATGATTAAATGATTATTTAGTAATAATTTATTAACTAATAAGTTATATGTTTCTAAACACATAATCCATAGTTTACTAAGATTTAGACAATCCAGTAGTATATATAGCCCTTATAGAAGTTTAACATGAAGTTGAGAAAATGTATTTGTAATTGGTTATTGAGTTGTAACTTTATTACTACACTAGACTATATAATGAAATAACACGAAACTATCAAGAAGGAATAAAAATAACAGAAAATTGAAAGCATATGGCCACATTCCATTGGATTTACACACATTGAGACATATGAAATTCAATGCAACTCAACAAGCAAGTTTAGATTCAAAAATCTAGCTTTGAGCTAAACTTGTAGTGTAAAAGGACTAGAAATATAACTCATGATATAACGGTTGAAACTCGTATACTTGGTGAACTATCAAGACATTAGTCTATGTGAGAATAAACAGAAAAATGTTACTAAATTTTTACGGTAGCATTTAACAACAAACCTTAACTCTATAGTGTACTAATAAAATATACTTAAAACATCTGGGAATATCTTTTTGAATATACTAAATAACAAGAGATTGATGGAATCCAATGTTCCCTCAATAATAAAAGACAATATTTATGTGTACACACGATAAGCTGTTAACTCCTTGAATGATCGTTAACCGATTTTATCATAAGATAGGGTTATGATTAGATGAATCTAACTATCAAACGTATGTTTAATTAACAGCAACGACTGTTCACATTAGGATTGAAAATACAAGCTTCTCAAATAATTTTTCCTTGTCAAAATTAGAACCATTTATATACCTGTACACCCAGAAATATTGATTTTGTTAGTTGGATAGCGAGAGTAGTATATTTTGTTTCCTTAGTTGGTTCCGATTACCTTAATAAATACAGTACATTGTAAACACATACAAATTAACATGTGCTTGATAAAACGACAATTTTTCTACCCGAGTTTAGTCTCATGTCGAACGAATCTGGGCTATGTGTGACGCATGTGCACAATAGCTCGTTTGGTCAAGTATTTACCATGATTACTTGACCACAGAGCAATCGATTCAAGTTGCAAAGTTACTCATTTGAACAGGCTAGTAAGAACACACGGAACAGTTAAATGAACCAGAACGATATCAAGTAAACAAGTGAAAAACGGATGAACAATATTGAAATTTTCACTGAGAAACAGGTTGAGTCAAATTCATGTAGACAATACTAGAAGTATACTATCAAGCTACAAAGATGTATGTTATGTTGACTAGATCATACTAATTTTTTAAATAATCTCATCTTCGAATACAGGTAAACAGCCTACAGCTATAACAATGTCAACAAAAGCTTATCCCTTAATTGAATTAACTTTGTGCAATTTATCATCAATTGACTTGATTTTATGGAAAGAATTCGTTGGGTGACTAGGAACGACTTATTTGAAAATCATTATTTTATATACTTTGCTGTTAAACAAAACGTATTCTTGTTCTATAATCTTGATTTCTGAAACATTATTAAACTTCAGTCACTTATTTTCTGATGGTATCAAAAGTACACAGTTTTATCTTTTAGTTACATTCATCTTTCAGCAATTACAATATGTTGTTTTCTTGTTATCTCTCTGAAAAATGACGCATTTAGGAGTTCAAATGTGAATACGGTAAGAGTAAAAAAGTCTTCACTGACACACATCAGTTAACAAAAGTGACATTCAGTATAACCAATAACTTGTAATCAAAACGAAACAACATAACATTTCAAGCCATCACAAGAAAAAATTTCTTGATTACTGAGAAAAGAAGGATGTTTCAACAGTAAATTACATACACATAGGAATGTACTTTTGAACAAATCTGTATTACTATTGCAGCCTTGCATTATAGAGTATAAGCTACTCAACATGGAGATTATAGCAAACTCCTAGTATTGAAGATAATTTAACAAAAGAAACAGTAATAAAAATTGAATTTACCGGATTATTCATTCCACCACGTGGGAGACGATTTGAATGACCATGTAAACCGCTAGAATGACTGTAACTATAAAAATTATCAAACACAAAAAAAAGAGAAAATTAGTCATTACGAGTATGATTGCATATGAAAATGAAGGATATTACACAAATACAACGGCAGATGGTCGAGTGATAGCAACGATAATTTGTAGATCAACAGGATATGTTAAAAACAATTTTCCGTAAATTTAGCAAAGTATTAACTATTTTAAATGATAATTTAGGACCAAATATAAAATTGCACAGTTTACACACAAATATAATAATTATTGTATGAAAACTGATGACAATTTTTAAACAAATTAAATATACGCAAGGATGAAGCATAAACAAATTACCTGGATATGAATTAAACAATATGGGGCTTTTTTTAAATATTCTATGCAAATTCTTAACGCTACCGAAGAAATTGTAAATTAAAGGTTAATAAATGAGGTGTAGAAAACACTCTCACTACCTTGGCCATCAGTATAAGAGTGAGCTTTGATAAACAATCTTCCAATTTCTTTCACGTTGTATTTTTACATAATCTGAAAAACCATCTCTCAATTCTTACACAGATACCATAATAGTGACCTTTCAACAAAAAATTGCTAATTCTTTTTGTATACTATGTAATGAAGCAACTGTCTAATTTTTCAAATAATTAATTTCGTTATTATATATATGCAACTAAACCTTCTATTCTATGTAAAATAAAATTACAAAACACATAATAGGAAAAAATAATAATTTTCAAAAACAATACAATTTCACAAAAACATTTACACTAACTTATCAGAATTGCTACGTTGAACAAGACCCCCATGCATCATCATTCCATTTACACCTCCCCCTAATCGAGAATAACGCCCAGATCCAGTTTTCTTTTCGAAACGTAAAGAGCTATGTCGTACTATGTTGGGCTTCATATTAGAACCCGATATTGAACCAGTGGAGTTGAGACACTTCATACTTGTAGGAGATATAGGGATAATCTTACTTGACATATTTGAATTAGATGTGGGCACCGTGGTTAACAATTCAGTAGGTGATGCTGGTGTATCAGTATTAGCTTTAATACACTAATTAAATGAAGAATAATAAACAGAAATGAACGAATTAAAGTTTGTAGGTATCATTACCACGGTTTGATTTGATAATTAAAGTTTGGCAGAAATGCAATTTCTTATACAACGGTGCATCCATTAGACAGGGGTTATTTATTTTTGAAAATTATGAAGCAGACTACCGATTACATTAAGATCAATGTGACATTTTCAATCAGCTATGACAATATGGCACTAATAATAAACATCGTAAAATATTTACTTGACAGATAAGCACACCCCAACAAACTTGACAATGAAATGTATCGGTAAAATTCCAACAATTCACATAAGTATGGAAGAAGGAAACTAACAAACAGGAGGAAATTACGATGAACATGAAAGATTTAGAAAAATAGATGCACCTATGCAATTATAGTTGATCTTATGAGTCTAAAGTACTTAAATAATGATTTTTGGAATTATGAAAACCTCATACAGAAAGTTAACATTCATCTAAACAGATCAGACCAATATTCGCAATTATCTTTTATTGACTTAATCTCATCGGAGTTAGTCTTCTAATCTTGAACTATAGTGATGACAAAATCACTCACACTCGGCTTAGACCTTTGCATCTCGGTCAGTCAGTCAGCTACAACGAAAGCCAGGCGCATATATGCATCTGTTCAAGTTGCCACGCCTTATTGGCACGACAAGATCAACACCAAATTCATAGAAGTAATTACTTCAATGGTAGTAATATACAAAAGAAAGATTGTGTATGAGAATATAACACAGGAAGAAAGAATTAGTTCGTATGGAGAGGTATAGAGCAATTTTAATCTCACGGTTTAAGGGAAGACAAAGAGTATATACACCTGCGCCATTGTGACCGATTCTAAGCCATGTCACACGGAGACTCTAACCATTGGTTACGATATCATTACAAGGGTTTGACTTGATAATTTCGAGTAAATTGAGCATTGGGTAGATTGTTATAAATAAATTAATATATATGTAATATTCCGATGAGTAGGAAAATTAAATTTTCTGACGTTTCGTAACTGAGTGTAAGCCACTTCCTCAGAGAATAAATAACCAAATCCATTTCTACTCATTGGGATATTACAAATACATTATATTATTTGCATTGGTTACGATAGTCGCGCGGACCCCAACCAAGTAGTCTGCATCTACCGACATGGCTCAGATCAGAAGTTAGTGACTTCAAGAACTGATGCCATGTTTTGGTTTGGCTCCCCCTAACTTCCAACACAAAGGTCAGGATTTTCAATACAAATGTCAAGACAGTTCTACTGTATGGGGCAGAAACCTGAAGAACTACGAAAGCCATCATCCAGAAAATACAGGTGTTTATTAACAATTGTCTACGCAAAATACTTCAGATCCATTGGCCGGACACTATTAGCAACAACGTACTGTGGGAGAGAACAAACCAGATCCCAGCGGAGGAAGAAATCAGGAAGAAGCGCTGGAAGTGGATAGGACACACATTGAGGAAAGCACCCAACTGCGTCACAAGACAAGCCCTCACATGGAATCCTGAAGGTCAAAGGAAAAGAGGAAGACCAAAGAACACATTACGCCGAGAAATGGAGATAGACATGAGAAAACTGAACAAGAATTGGATGGAACTAGAAAAGAAGGCCCAGGACAGAGTGGGTTGGAGAATGCTGGTCTGCGGCCTATGCTCCATTGGGAGTAACAGGCGTAAGTAAGTAAGTAAGTAACTTTCTTCCAATCACCCCAACATCAATCAGCATTGTGCGCCGTGCTAATCGGTGTTCGGGCATACGTAACACGTGGTTCAACCATCTCAGTCGATGAAGATTCACAACCTTGTCCTCCTGGAAGGAGATCAATTTCTGAAAATTCAGTTGACTTGAACGTTATTTCCAACAGTAGGTCCATGATGAAATTAAACAGAAATGGAGATGGTGGATAGTCTTGTCGGATACTACTTTAGGTTACAAAATCAGGTTACATTTAGCCATAAGATAACTCAACTGGTACTATTCAAGTAAAGAGCCTTCACAAGGTTTATGTACTTCTGGGGCACACAGTTCAATGACAGACACTGCCACAGAACCTTTTTTTGCATCTAAATTCAAATAACCCAGTGAATGTTTTCATCATACATTAGCATAACTTCGGAAACAAATTTTACCAGATAGTAATCCTTATGTACGAAGTAATTACTTATTCGATAGAAGACGAGCATTTAACTAGAAATTACATGCTGATCTAGGATTGATTGTTAAGATATTTTAACAATATTCTGATCATAAATGATCGTCTGGTCAGAGCAATTGAAGAAGAGTTATTGTTCCTTCATATTAATGAATAATAACATCCATTTATAACTCTAACATGTAAAACGAATACAAGAGTATTTACAGTAAGAGTGTAAAGGTCCAATATTACAGTTTTTTTAAAATTTTGTCAGATAAACCTCCAAAACTAGGACATTACAGAAAACTAATAACTCGTAACTGCCTATTCGTTTACATTTACGCTATATGTTATATTTTCTATCAACTGAAAAATGGCAGTTTTTATGAAATTTTTGGTAATGTACGCGAAAAACTTATTGTAAAACTAAACAACAAACCTCAAATTGTTGTTTGCCTTGTTTCCCCTCTGAATCTGAGATAGACTGAGTATTCGAATGAATCATTGGAGCATTTAAATTACTTGAGGATATATTTCTTTCATCTTTATCATACACTGGTTCTTTATTTCCACTAGTCCATACAGATTCTTCACTATGTTCAATTGATGTGCTCAAATCCACTTCAGAATCTGATCTACATATATTGTTCGGACCATTTTCTGTTTGGTGCGGTGTCGGTGTCCCACTAAATAAAAGTTAATCCGAAAGTAATTATTCCAGAAAATAAGAAACATGTAGTGCGAAAAATGAGATCAACAGAAAAATAGAATTGTACAGGACTGCTTATTATAAGGGGTAGTTCAAATAGTGTAGTGAAGGTGATTCGGTAATCTACATACACATTTTTCGACTGGCTTCTGGGTTTGAGTTCACTTGGTTCACTTCAAATAAAGTAAATCAATCATACAACATGCTTTGCCCATTAGGTGGGTTTTAAATTATGGAGCAAAACTTACATATCCGCGTGGAAATTTACCAGTTTAGCTATGTAAGAAAATATAGTTTCGTCAGTGATGTTAAGTACTAGAAGCCCCAAAAATGCACTAGTACAAGTGAGGGCAAAGAGGGATCACGATACTTCTCCATGTATCAACGTCTTTGTAGTCTCTTATAAAAAAGTACTCACCATAGCTTCCAATTTGGCAGGGGCATTATGGAACAAGTATGGACAAAAAATGGACATCTGTGGCCTAAACTGTGTTGGTTGATGAAGAGGTTTTACTTGGACGTGTTGAAGAACCGTGACACCAAAAGCCATTATCGTATATAAGCTCCAAGGTTGTAAAGAAATGGGTAGGGCATCGACCTCCTTCTATCACCCACTATCATGGAAATGCATTTAGTGACGTTACTCTATCGCTTTCCAGTTTAGATTACCAAGTAAAAGACATGGAAGGCAGTTCTCTAAGGAAACAATCTGTTTTTGTTTAGGCATTCGGGCAGTATCGTATCCATCATACAACTCATGACAATAACGATAAAGAACCGCTAAGAGAAAAAAACAATGTGTTTGATATTCACATGAAATACAAAGTCCAAGAATTACACTTTTTGGATTAGCTAGTTGAGAGTGAAAATGTAAAAAATATAATGCTAGCTTCACTATGTTGCTTAATATCACGAGAACATCGAGTCAAATTGTACATTTTTATCATAATAAGGAAGAAAAACTTAAAGACTGAAAGTGGGATCATTTTCTACTGCATTGTTTGTTATAAGATAGGGAACGATTGATCGTGAATACTTAGATGGTCAACATATAGTCATATTTTTTACCAGCTAAACATAAGGTATGGATAACAATATACTTCAATCTAATGTTATTTACATACAATAGTTTGGATAGTATCACTTCCAAGTATGCTCTAATATCCTCTAATCAGTTGCAGTTGTGCAAACATACTTCCTTGCTTTTAAGGCGTACATATTTCTTCATGTATACCTTCACGGAATACTTCTCATCAAACTATATTCATATTGTTCAGCCTTTTTGTTATTACCATAGATACAATTATTTAAGCTTCTTTGGTTAATTTCATCTCAACATGTTGATTTGAAGTGCAGCAAATTGAGCCAACGCACATTTGTGCAATGATCAATGATTTTTATAATTGAATGATTGATTATTTGTTAACATTATTCCCTTAAAAAATATGTTAAATATAGCATGAAAAATGATTGTCAACGTCAATAAAATACTGTTTAAATACACAAAACGAGAAAACTTGATGAAAAAGATTCGTTAAAGAGAAGAATAAATTTAGAATTACGAGATACTATGTATATAAAACTAACCTTGGACAAAATTTCTCGAAGATATTGTCTCTCCATTGGTCTTGAAATTCATCATTTTTTTAGTTATACTGCGGACACAGCTTGGATTATCAGAGAGCATTGAATTTATTGTAGAATCTTTAACTTCATATGAAGTGATCGCTGTTGTGTCAGAACTTCCGACATTCGATGAATCACTGATAATTGTTGAAGTAGATGAAGTTATGCTAGTCGTAGATTTTGCCCGTAATTTATCAACAATATCACTGATACTTTTCACTGAAGATTTACGGGGAAACTGCTGTTGTGACGATTGCGAACATTGTCCTGAAACGGACGAATTGGACTGCAGTGAAATTGGATGAAGGATGGATTGTGAACAGCTCTCAGTATTAGGGGCCGTAAAGCCCGAAACTGAATCGGACGGGATTGAAGAATTGTCATCAGTATTATTTGCTGCATCATTGATATTTGCATTGTACACAACTGCATTTATTGGATCTACGCCCTCTAGATTAGGATCGTTAGAACTTGGATACATATTTTCAACAATAGTTAGACTGGATTCGTCAGATTTTTCTGGAGATTGAGAATCTGGTGTATCCCTGTAGGATGAAACGCTTTCTTGTATTTGCTGAAGTGTGGTAGACAGCATTCCAATCGACTTGTCCCCACTTGCGTCCGATAAAGGTACACTTGGTAAACAGCCAGTGGTTGTACTTTTCTTTTTAGGGATCTTATAGCCTTTAATTAATCCAGATGAAGAACCAACAACACTTACAGAAGCTGGATTTGCAGTACATACTGAACTGGAGGATAAATAATTGAGAGTACTACTTTGTTGAACAGGTTGAGATTTACTTGTGGGAGTATGTGGAACACGAGGTAAATTAGGTGCTGTATGTAACGATGGACGAGGTGTTTTACGTGATGTGTTACTGTTGGTAGGTGGATCTGAACTAGTAGAAGGAAGTAGGGGGGAAGATATACATGCAGAATCACTTGAGGTACCTGAATTAGGATGAGCAGACTGAGAGTTGTTAGACTGCTTCGAAGTTTCTGGATTGCGCTTGCGCTTGTCACCGCTTACTAAGGGTGAAGCCGATGAAGAAAACAACCTCTTGACAACCATCATATCATCACTCCCGGAACTAGTTCCAGCACCAGTCCCAAGCGGAGTAGAATTAAGTGCAGAAACCTTCTTTTTTGATGATGAGTTGGGGGACATTGAAATACAGTTACTATACAAATTAGGAGTCGTACCTGATCCCGTTTGATTATCTTTGGGTACATCAGAAGTTGCTGGTCGGGAAACACGGTTTATTTTTATTAGCTTCGGTATATTTGCATTGTCAGCTGTTTCTTGTGCCTGGTTGTGAGTATTACTATTTGGAATGAAGGAAAAATGAGTCTTCTCTGTGAAGCCATGACCTAAACGACGCTTACGTTCCTTTTTCACTAAGACAGAACCATGACCAACTAATTTATTCGTACTTTTGATTTGTTTTTAAACCAGAGTTGTTAAGTACAAGAGGAGTAATTGCTGACTGACTAGGAACTCCAGAAGCCGCAGTAGTAACACTAGTAGTGGTAACTGAGGCATCAGAACCACTTATTGAGCAGTTGGCAAGCTGAAGCATTTGTAACATATATGCTGATGGTTTGCCCTCTACGGAACGTTTTTTACGTTTTTTAACGGATGGCAAAGGTTGAGCTGGATGAACTGTACCTCCAGAGTCCGATGTATTAATAGGGGTCGAATTTGATTGGACAGACTGGAGTTTGTTGTATTTATCAACTTCATTCTGGCTAAAGTTTACTCTTGCTTTGGGAGTTGAAGTAATCGGTTGAGATGGTATTGTTTTTATCGTCATCTTCAGACTAGTTTTACGTTCGATAGTTCGTTCTAAATTTGAATTTGATGACATCATTGTTGTCACAGGAAAATTCGAAATTGGATTGGCATTACTAACTGCCAGGCTACCAGACTGTAATGGGTTTACAGACACGCCAGATTTAGGACTTGTTAATGAAGAACCGCTTGAAAACGATAAGGAATTGGAGGACGATATATTACCGACCGGGACATCGAACATTGAACTGGGGTTATCGTCGAAGTCATAGACCGATTTACTAGGGTTAGGAATTTGCATATTGATACTTTGCACTGTAGATGCTACCGTACTCTGTTGGACATATGGCAGTGAACATGAAGAGAAATTTGAATTTGTTTGATTAAAAGTAGGGCGCTGGTAGGTTCCTGACAATGAGATACTGGTAGTCGGTAAAACGGTGTCGACACGCTGGTGCTTTGTAGTAGGATAGTTAGAATATACACCAGGAACAGGTGTATTGCCTTTTTGACTACTAATGCATCGGAAACTACCTTCCACCGTTCCTCGACGCCTTTTACGAGGTTTTTTAGGATTACTTGTGGGGTTAACAGTTAAACTAGCTTGACTGTTCTTTAAGCTTGTATGTTTGGTACGACCAGTATTAGGAGTGATTAAACTGGAGTTACGAACGGAAGGGTACTGGGAACTATTCGGAGTAAGGTTTGGTGCAGATGAACTTAAAGGTTTCCCACACCCTTGGGGTAACTGTGCATCTGAACTAGGGAGTTGAGAGTTATTGGATAACATCATGCCAGGAAGTCGACTATTAGAAACGTTTATACTGCTCGCAGCTGAAGTAAGGGGACTATTTTGAAGATTTGTTAACGAATGACTGGGATTGTAGTGGTGACGATCTGTCATACTGGATGGAGACACCAAAGGAATGGAAGTAGAAAGTGAATCTTCGTTTAAAAGATTAACAAGCATAGATCCGCTTGCTGATGGAGCTCTGGAGTTATCACTAACCGGTGAGGCTAACAGTAAGAAAAAATAACGTTTTGTTATCAGTAATGTGAATGTAGAGATAAAAACTAGAAACTTCAACCCAACTTCTATCAAAATTTGATATTAACTGAAAAATCATTGGGAGTAAATAAAATATGGACTACCTCATTGTCGATCTAATTCATTTAAGGAGTACGCAACTATAACCACTTCAAAATTTAAAAGTAGGATCTTTTAGGATCAAAGATGAACCCATTCACCATTCAGTTATCTAATTCGATTCCGGTGGGGAACAAATTGAACATTAATTATAGTGTTGATGTGGTACGGCGATTCGGGCTAAACTATACTTGTGGCAAACTCTACGTTGATTATGACTGACTAAATGACTAAGTACTTAGTGGTACGATGGGAAATATCACCTAAAGTCACATTTTTCACCATCGCTGACAAGAAATAAGTTAGTTCTAAAAGACAAGCTGTAATTATGTCAACAACTGATACGCAATGAGAACTAATCTCAAAATAATGAATTAAAGACTCAATGGTTTAACTGAGAAGTGGCGAATGCGGTTACTGTTCATTTTGCAAGTATCTGCAGCACAACTACTAAGCCATATACAATTGAATATTCAATGGAAATTATATTTACATTATAAAAAACTACCCTGTTAATTGATGAATACAAGATTTTAATCGCTGAAAAATTCCCATTATATTAAAACACAATTGCATGAACGAAGAATATTCTTTTCAATAATTCTTCAACCTGATGAGAAATTATTGAAAAGAATATTCTTCGTTCATACAATTGTGTTTTAATTGATGAATACTTTGCATACTTATATAATTCAAACTAAAGAATCTGGTTGATCTAAAGGGGTAGTCAATTTATTAATGCCCTTGTTAACGATTCAAACTAATGATTCATTAGCTTTTGAATTGTAATCAATTGCCGGTCAGTGTTAGTAGCCACAAAAGTTTCAGTGACATCCATTTAATTTTGACTAAACATGCTTTAGTAAAGAAATGTACATTTAAATATACTGTTAATTAGAAGCTTACCAGTAAAACTTTTGGATTTGACTACAGCAGATGAACTTGTAGCCTCTGAATTGGAAGCACTAACAGACATAGAAGGTATATTGTACAAATTTGAAGGGATACTATTTGACCCAGATAAAACAGACGACCCATACTTATGTGAGGAATGAATAGTAGGTAATGAAAGATAATTTGATGTAGAAATGTTGGGATTAATCATATCAGAATAGGCTTCCTTCACATCCGCCAAAGAGGTAGTATGTGTCCCAGGAATAGGCGATACATAGCTTGGTAACGAGTGGGAAAAAGAAATGGGAGGTGGATTACGCTGCTGTAACTGTTGTTGTGTTTGAAATGTACTATCAACTAATAAGTCATCCAGCCTTAACCCACGGGATGGATTAGTTGAGACAGCTGGTAAACTGGAATTGGGATGCATATCACGTAATTTGCCTTGAGAGTTCACAGGTCGCAACGATGATATAATACCAAGGTCACCTGTTAAGGATATGTTTAATCGGTAAAATATTTTAAATATAGTTATGCAGAAACATTTCGATAAATATTTTTAACAATGCATAGCAAAGTTTAATGGTCAAAATATAGGTAATCAGTAACTGAAACTTTTAATGCTAGAGATACAAAGAATATACTACCAGTAAGCCCTGGATTACAGAAATTTAAAAAGTTGTAATTTACACAATAGATTGAGGCTGAGACATCAATTTTGATTCAAATTTTTTTGTTATTCTCTCCTTACCAGGATTCTGAGAGAACTTCTAACATTTTACCGTTGAGTAAGATGAGTTTTCAACAACCCTGTTACGATCGAAGAGGAAGAATATGAGAATAATCCATTTTATAAACCCTAGTTACTTTATTATAATCAAACTAATATGACATCACCTTATGTCTCTATGGGGTTTGTTTTCCATGAAATTTATATTCAATTTCGTCTTAATTTATTTCTTATCTTAAATAAAAGCCTATTTCTTTCGGAAGTTTCGTTTAAACACTTAAAAGTTGCCGAATATTTGTTTAATGTACGGAATTATCAAATGAAATAGCTGATGCAGCAACTAATTTTTAAAAACACAAGGGTTGTCACTTTTATTGTAATCAAAATTGAAGAGAAGGTAGATTTAACTGCAGTACACAACCAGTTTATCTTTGTGTTTCCGAAACCTGGCCTCTATCAACTAATGATATTTGAGGGCTTATTGTATTTAACCTTCTTTATACCTGAATGACTGCCTACATGAGAAAGCAACACTACATTATTAATATTAAGATCTACAAACTTGTGGTTAGGTACAGTGAACATCACAATACAATAAGTGATGTCAACTTGAATTAATCACTTTGATGGTTTGGTATTTGTTATAATACGGTTGCACGGATTCCTTTTAAATCCGAAAAATAACTGGAATTGCTTTTTATTAAATACAAACCGCCGTTTTCTCTTACGACTTCTCTACTAAATAGCCTCTAAAAGAATGGAACGCAGCTACATCAAAGTCCACTCATAAAAAGGCAAATCGACAAGCTTTTAATACCCTATCTAGCACAAATATGTGACGAACACGGTGTGAGAATATATATAGTAACGTAAATGACGATTGTGAGGAAGATGTTGAAATATTTTATGCTAGGAATCCCCTATTCTATTAAACATAACTGTATTTGATAAACTGAACTTGTTTTCGTTACTATAATTACCGTTTCTAAACCCGCAAAAGACAACGACAACAACATACTTGAGCTTGTATCCAAATGAGTAAACGCAGGAGGAGGTGTTGCCATGACACCTGGAGGTAAAGGAGGTATCTTTTTAGCATTGTTCAAATAGTTTGGTGTATTTAAAGCAAATACTTGTGCTGCAGCGAATGATGAGGAAGATTCAAAATCCAATGAAACTTTTCGATCTCCACCACAAAGTACACCACCAGTACCGTTAGCCCCACGGATTATAATAGATGATTTAACACGATTAAGCATTGTCCTTAAAGAAGTTAATTGATTTTGACTGACTGATGAATAGCTTTCCTTATTCTCAGTACTATTATATGAATTGGTTACAGGCAACTTCAGGCTTACCAACTGTTTATGAACAGGACATTGGAGTTGAGTTAGTAACCAGACAAAACCAATTGGTAATGTATGTGTTTTTGTGAGAATTTTGCTGAAGTTAGCTTTGAGATTACCTCCAGACTCTATGTCTAGCTTATTCAGTTGCATGACATCTACTTCTTTGTCATTACTTGGACAGTTACTATTCAAGCGATCATGTGTATTTGAAAAGTAATTTAATTCCAGACACTGGACATCGAACGGACGCACATGTAAAGAAGCTAAAAAGTAAATAAGACAGTTACATCATAATACCAAATTATTAAAACAAAATCAAGTACTTAACTCATGGCATATAGAGCAACCAATAAAATGTTAGTTTAATTCGTAACCTCAAAAATTAACGTTTGTAAGGATATCATTTCTGACAATTTCTAAATAGTTGTTAAGGGAGGAACTTAAGTCAGCATGTGTTCGAATTAAACATCACACTTAGGTTCGACTAATAACTTCATTAGTATAGTTTTTCAAGAAGGTTTAATCAGCAAAAACCGTTTATATCATCTTCCGTTATTTATTTCTTGCAGTTCCGAATTTTTCATGTTTTCCAAACAAAATTCTCCCCATCAGGGATTCTTCATGTTGTTTCATCTAAAGACGATGGTTAGTTTGTTTAAATGTCAAATTTAGTCCTGAGGGAGTAAGCGAATCTATTTTTTTTCCTTCCTTAAGACCCTTAGTATCCAAATCATCTTATTTTTAGTTCCACAAACCCATATTTTCTGTTAGAATCACACCTTCTATGACTAATCTTTTATATCAGTACTGATATTGTTACTACTTCTACCACACTTAGATATCCTTTGACTAATTTACTTTGCAGTGTTAACGCGGTGTGGTAACTTGAACCGATGCACATATGTGTCAAGTTCGATGTTCCATATGACTGATTGACTGAAGAGCATTGTAAATGTATCCGTGTTCAATCGATGTTGGTCTACTTTTATCTTTTAAGTTTTCAAAGAAACCTAACCTTTTAAATTTGAACATATCGCGAGCAGTTAAAAAGGAGGATAAGAAATTGACTATGTCCGCAATAGTAGGAATCGAATTTACTGCCGCATTCTTAACACGCATCAATTTTAACTGGGATCCAGATAAATAAAATCTGTTTATTTTACCATAAATTTAGTGATAAATTTTGTAAAATTTTAATCCCCACCTTTCTGCACATTTGCACAGTGCACTTGTAAAAACTAGGCACTGAGTAAATTACACCCTGAACTCCTATTGATACATTTATTGTGTTTTATATTGATGGTACGTTACTACTATCTTTGAAGAACTACTTACCATGAATCTTCGCTCCCAGACGATTAGGATCATCAAACTCTAGTGAAATCATCTGACCACCCATGATTTTAATATTAAACGAGAACGTTAAGGCGTCATCTGGAAGAAACAAAATAAGCATTACTATGCATATTAACGGTTTAGATACTAAGATAACTAAACATAATAAGGGTCCAAACTGCTAACTATTTAACCACTGACTACCCCGACATGTAATCCTGACTAAAATAGAAGTAGGCTGGAGGAAATATAGGAATGCGCAAATCGAGACACGATTTGAGCTATGTCGGAAGGTGAAAACTTCCTCGCTGGGTCACAAACAATAATCAAAATCATCGTTAAATAAGTTTGGTGCCATCTATAAATCGATCATAGCAACAAAGTTGCATTCATTTTCTTTAGCCAAATCTGAAGTTAAGTATCATTTCCTAAATCGTCATCCTCTGATTGCAACTATTCCATTTGAACTGTATTTCCCATTGTTTTCGTATTATTTTCCATCCTATGCTTCTTGCTCTTTTGATTTCCTTTCGTTATGCTGATGTGAGATGTGACAACTTAGGCCAGAACAAACTCGTGCCACATCCTACGTTGATAAAGACTAACTGACTGACAAAATATTTAAAGATATATCACCCCAAGTAATAGAACCAGTGATTCTGACCATTTTAAAGACCTTATTCAGGAGATTCAGACATCTGTTTATAAAACAAACTAACACTCAGAGGTTTAACATTTTTACTCCATGGACTTTCGCTATATAGTTTGCAAACAAACACCATTTGATTTGTAATCTCGATAATTTCAATGCACATCTATTCACATGTGATAGTCACAATTTAAAATTCAATAGTCATTACGGTCAGAAAAATATTTAGAACCTAAAGTTGGGTTGTGTACTATAAACAATTGTGTGAACCCACCTTTTTCCACTGGTTTATCAGGATGAACAATAAATGTTTCATAAAACGCTAAAGCTGATGCTTGTTTACGAAGAATAGAAATAATTTCACCAATTTGATCTGAACATGTAAATGGAACTGAGCTGACAAGATAGGCTTTGACATCACTCTTAATTTGATAACTATGTTGTGTAATATTTGGGTTTTGCTAGATAAAACCAAACAATAAGAAAAATAAAATTAGAGTTGATGTACTGAACTGAAAATAAAACAATATACATTAAGTATTGTGTAAAAAAGCTCTATCAATACCTAGAATCTTAACTTATAGTCGAAATAAATGTTATCTAACATGATTTTTATAAATGCAACAAATATAACGTCATCATATGTATACAGTTTAAGTTACTTTATTTCTTGTCTCACTGTAAAATCAGCTGGTTAAAAATGTTAATGGATTCTCTTAACTAACCAAGAGGTAGCACAAAATAAAATGGATCTAGTTCAGTTTCGAACATTTGACTCGATGTTTGAAAGCTAAACCTTTGTGACAATTAAATTACATTGTTGAATAATTATAGATATCAATATCTTCCATGGAAATAGAAGAGCTATTCAAATGACAAGAAAATCAAATAAAAATTAAATAGGACACCCGTGATTATGATAGCGACTAAATCGATTATAGTTTTGAGCTTTTTTTATTGATTTATTTCAGGTACCAAATCATTACCAAGTTTAATAGATACTTTTTACAACTTGATTTATAAGCACATTTTAACACTAAATAATCAAGGGAAATATTAATTTACAAACATTTCTTATTTTGATTACATTAAAAGAAAACTTTATGTATAATTTAACTTAAATATTTATTTTATTATTATATAGATAATAAATTCTAAAAAAAATATATTGAATGTATTCGAAAAATTTACGTAAACATTCACTCACTAAATGTGTGTTTATTCCATACAAATGTTCTTGTTTATATTTCCGTAAAATCAATAAAACTATATCTTCTTCTTTCTGATCTATGATTTCTGTATTACTTAAACCTTTACATTAAAAGAGAAAAAATATAACTAATAACTACTCTAAAATAATACTATAAATCAAAAAGTATGATAGAGACGACAAGTCAAGTAGAGGCACTTAAGGGAAGAAGAGGTTTACCTGTAGTACGCTCAAGTTGTTGAATTGCATCTGTTGAGATTGGTAAAGGAGGATCTAGATGTAGTACGAATTCAGCTTCAATTGATATACACTTGATTTCATCTGGTTGAGCAAAATGAGGGACACTAAAGAAAAAATAGCAGGGAAATAATAAGTATGAATAAATAAGGATATAAAATACACAATTTTAAAGGTAGATGAAGTCTTCAAACCGTACATGTAACTCTATCATATTATTAAAATAGTGTGAACTCGAAACTAAAGAACATCCACACAAATCTCATTTTATAGTGTAATTTTGTCATGACACGAAAAAATTATCCATAAATCACGAGTAAAATTCCAGTTTCTGGGAGCAAGCGAAACAAACAACTGACTCTTAAGCGAAGAACACGGATAAAAATTCAGACGATTTTGAAGTAGTTTGTATTAAACGGACTCAGTGGAGAGAAATACGGTTTTAAAATAAACTTAAGATGATAAACGACCGGACCCATTTGTAATTTAGCTTCACGCAAAGAGAAGAATAGAACTGCATCGTTTCCATCCAACAGTAGATAGATAAAAGCGGACAGGAATTATTGATACCATGGAATGGGTTATTGTATCTTACAGATTGATTTAAATGGATACAAAGTATTCAAATTGTGAAAATATTATAAGCTTTGAATTTTGTGAAAAGTCAGTCAGCCTTTTTTACTCATCACTCACAAATTTGTGTCTGTGGAAGCAAAAATCACTTGCTGTTCAAACACGTCATCAATTTTTTTATCAAAAAACGGAAAGTAATGATTATCAGAGTGACTTACTCACCTTATACCATAAGCATCTTTCTGTAGTGTCACTAAAGGCATAAATGGAAGTCGTTGAACTGTCGACTGGGCAACTGCGGAAGTATCCTCCACATACGACAATCTAGGACAAAGTCCGATGCGTGCCATATAGCCTCCAATAAGACCATCACGAGATCCGCACCCAATACTAGATGAATATGTACTTTTTGAATTCATTTGTAAATTATTCTTTATTACTCTAGTTGCATTACTGATCATAGCCTGTGCAGATGTGACTAGGTAAGTAAGTCTAGCTAGCCGGCCTCCTGTACGTCCAACAAAGTGTCCAACGAGTGAACGATTTACTAGGTCACGCATACTAAATACATCATGTTTCTGATTTGGTGCTCGCCTAAATGTACTTATGGCATCGATATTATTTTCCAAGTCAGTTCTCATTGCCTGAGTCAGCATACTCAAATCTTTCTCAAGAGCCTGTAAACATAAGTAGGTTCGAGCACGATCAATCCTTAAAAAGAAATAGAAAAGAAATATAGACCTTTTAATTGACAAGGAAATCAAGATCACTGAACTGATAATGCAGGATTAACTGACTTAACTTAGGTATCATTTAAAACTATGCAGGATTTATTTTAACTACACATACTTGGCTGAATTTTGATGTGTAACACTGACAATTTGATTTTGAGGAGTTATATTTAGGACACTAACAAATTTTATTTTCAGTTTAGTTCGTCTTCAAAACACAAATATAGTATCAACTAATAATACAGAATGATTAAAAATAAATATTTTTCCATTGAAAACAAGCCAACCACAGAAACCTATCAGATAAGAAATAGGTAACATATATACTAAAAACGAAAGGATAATACCATCTCATTGGCTAGTGATTCAAACATAAAAGTGAAGGAGAATGCTCAGGTGGTAGGGGTTTAAGAGAAGAATCCAATTAAGTAAACCCCTTAATCCCTAAAAATGACTGACTAGGTTATGGCACACTGTTTTGACCCATTCCTTTTGTATTTGTAATAGATAAGTAAATGGAAAGTGAACCTGAGATCCAGTCAACAGAAGTTGCATATTGAGATGAGTGAGCTAAAATCTTATGCTATGAATGTTTATAATCACGAGATAAGTATTAGGAAATATATATATTCCGGTTCTTTTACACGAATCAGTCACTCACATAAACAAAAGATATCAATTTATAACAAACCCGTACGAATTAAAAATTAATCCTATTTTAATAGGGAGAAGATTCGCAAAATATAGCTTAGATTATAGATTGAATTAGGGCATTACGATCCTCTGTATTTAAATAAGCATGAAAATCAAACAGATAAACTTTTAAAAAATCGGTAGCTTTCCTAATTCACTGGAATCTCACAAACTTATCATTACCATTAAAAACAGTTCCCACTGTTTATACTTACTCTATCCCTTAAGTTTTAATTGCTTAAATGAAGTGCGGATGGGAGAAACACATTTCCTTCACTTACTTTAAGCAGAATTTCTGTAATCAGTATTTTACTTAACTACTGATTTTGCAAGGAAAGTTACAAACATGGAAGAGACAAAGCCGATTATATATATACCACTGTCATAACTATGGAAACTATAATATCAAAGGATTTCTGGATTCTCAAACGAAATTTATCTCCATTCACTAACCGACGACTACAATCCCCACAACACTATACCTAATAACGTGACTTTCTAAGAGAAATGGTATAGCGGTCAGAATTATATTACAATGAGATATTCATTGTGGTGCACACCAAAGTAACAAGATATGTTATGGTTACGACAACTCGATTGTAGAAAATAAAGTGAAAATGTAATACCTCACACAAAATGATAAGAAAAGTTAGTGATTCAGCAAGGAGCTAGTTCATCAATTCCAAATCCAGTTCACGCATATTAGTTACTTGCTAGATTACACACGGCTCCATGTAACAAATAAGAATTTGATGTATTATTATAGATAACAAAATAACTTACTTATCACCCGGAACTGCATATATCGTCAGGAGATTATCTACATGCTGTAGTAATGAACTATATTTGCCCATACTGAGATCAGTGGCCAGCTCCGGACAAGGCTGTATGAATGAAATAAACACTATAGAAGTCTTTACCGTAAAAGAAAGATATACTACAAAAAATCAAACATTTGAGATTTATAGCCCTGTATCTGGTGGGCAGACTTTGAAGCATAGTTCTAAATGCAGTCAGCAAAATGCGTTAAACCCGGTACGTTCACATCGGCTGACGTTGCTATACCTCATTGGGGCAGTGAGATGAAATTGTTAGGAAGAATCTCATAGTAGGAACAATATCAGAGGTAGTAGAAAAGATTAAGCATCGAAGATACGATTCAAGAAAAATATTATTGAAATAAAAAGATTATGACGAATCTAGAAACTCAGGATTTAAGAAAACATAGAGTGGATGTACCTGAACCATGTCATTCAGGGACTTTAATCATTGGTTACGATAATCTCGTGGATCCCAACAAGATAATATACATCCGTTAACAAGGCCCAGGTAATTTGTCAGTGACTTCATGAACTGATACTATGCTTTGGTTTGGCCGCCTCTAGCTTTCATCCAACCAGACATCGTCCAACGAGGTAAGTGGTGGGTAGGGATATGTAATACATGTCTCAACTACCTCAATCAATGGAGACCTACTACCTCATTAATCGATTTCCCGTCCTTACCTAGTACCTTATCCTTAACCCAGACATTACTTACTTGGTGATCCTAAAATACACAATGATACGAGGACATCCGTGATCGAATACTGGTACCCTACGAATAACTTATATTCTTAATGACCATGTTCCACATGCACAAAGTGAGACAAATCGAACTGTTGCTCAGTAAACTCATCCTTTGGCTGGCAGATGGATATTTTACCGTCACAAGACTCAAGTTGGTAAGATAGAACCGAACTTTCTGAATCCATGTTGAGATTTCGTCAGACACCAGCTTATCAGGACTGGTGAGACTCCAGAGATAAGTGAGCGATACACTCAACTAATTCACTTCCTATCATTAATTTAGGCAGTGACACAGGTCAGTCCAGGAGCAACATTTTGCACTTGGAGGAAGAGAATCGATGTCTAAATACGCCCCTAAAGGGATGACTTTCACGCTTGTGAAATGCAATAAACTACACACAAAGTAGCTGCTATTCTAGTTATCTTCATTACATTGCCAATGTATAAGATCGTACTCACTTATGGGCGTAGGATCTGACAATTATATCGACCTATGTTTCAGACCAGTGTAACCAGGTCTAAACGACTAATACCATGAGTTTATGACTACCGACTAATGTTATACATAAGCTTAATTGCCCTCAATGTTAGTAAATTCTGGTGCTCCTAAGTGTAATGCATTTGGACAGGTGATAGCTGAACCTCAGCCAAACATTAACGAAGGACGATCCGAGATTAGTTAACTATATTTATTCATTTTGGGACACAACATAAAACGTACGTTATCTAAATATCTGAGAACTCACAGGGTTTATATTGGGTGGCAGTGACGCAGATGCATTCAACCCACAATTCCCTGTAAATCATGGACATAGAATTATTCTACCTTTCGGAATTCTTTATTTGATTAGTTTTAAATATGTTTTACATTTTATGTCTTCACATTTTACTCTTTACATCATTAGGTCTCAACTAATGTTAGCGTGATTAATTTTACTACCTTAGGGTTCCTCTTGTTGATTCCCTTTTAAAGTATTAATAGAACGTGAAAACTTGGATAGATACTTTTGTGAATTCCACATCGCTTATTGTCTGTCCGGTTATCGTAACTCTTATGTAGCTAATTTAATACATACAAAATTACCTGGAATATTTACACATATCCTCGTTTTTATATGAATAAACATGAGATGTCGGGGGCAATTCAAGCGTACTGACCACCACCTGACTCGACGTGGGTTAGAAGTAGGAATAGGCTGAACTGAGCAGTCTAAGAAGGTCCAAACTACCTGACTGGAATCTGCAAATAATCATGGTTAGTTGGAGTCTGTAAATGAAGTGGATCAGTATCGACCAAAACAATGCAGATGCATTTACTCAATTTGCCCCTGACTTTTGAGCTTTGGCATTATTTTATGCTCCTTAGTGAGTGAATTCGTCCTTTTTTTCGAATTTTACTCCCCAATGTTTGATATTACTATAGTTAATAGTAATGGAATAAAGAGCTACCGAACACACGTCCCACCCTTTGACTGATACTCGCGATGTTGTAAGTTTCTTCGACGGAATATCTTATTTTGAAAAATACTTAACTCCAACCAAATATTTTAAAGTGAGGTAAATTCTGAGCCTTTGAATAAACTGTTAAGGAAATGATGAACAATGGGACCAGTGTCACTAAAGGTGACAAATATGATCACGCAAATCTATAAGAATAAACAAGCTGTTCATAAAAACCTCTTATCTCAATTATAGCCTGAAGTCACAATTCTCGAAAACTAGTATGTCTACAATAAACCAGTAAGGAGAAGGCCGTCCCAATTCGCGTCTTTAAAGTCGCTGAATGTGGAGCGCAGGCTCCCGTTAGTTAAGCCATCACCACTAGGATGAAACTTGGTGATCAACTACACGAAATAGATGCAACCTATGTACAGAAATTCACATATGTTTTCGAGTGGTAAATACTTCATCTTGCAGGCATAAATCTAGCTAAAACGTTTCAAAATTCACAAATCCGGAACTCTGAGCTCGTTTGGAATAAATACAGATATAAATAGACAGCCTCAATCTCCAAAAGCTGACAATAGAATTGTACATGGAAATTTTAATACGATTATATGATACACTTACCACAGCTTTATCATGATTAAACTCGAAATAAACTGCGGCAATCGAGATAAGATCCGTCAGTTCTGGTGAGTTATTATAAGTCGAATCAGAAGTTGTGATAGAGTTATTAGTTGCAGCAACTACTACTGCAAAGCACTCAGATGTTAATCTCCACACTAATGCTCCAGCAGACGTTCCACCACCGGAGCATGGACCTGAAGACAATTGAAGGCCACAATGTATAGCAATTCTTTGTAAGTGGTTGAGGAATGTGGAGTATCGTATCAAATACGGTCCTGTGCGCGTATTGTTTGATCCTGAGTGAATTTGATCGGCACGAACGGTTGCAAGCAAATCCAGAAAGTTCAGGTTGTCTGAACACTTAGAGATGTCATGCATTGGCGATTATATATCCCAAACAATGGTGATATCTTAAATAATAATGATGAAAACCATATGAAGACACAGATTTCAGGAAGTGCGCCTCAACAGTACATTGGTCTCAATGTTTCATATGTCATTTAGAAGTCCTCCGTTCAAAAAATCATGTTCCCCACCTTTAGGAATCCTTCTGTAGGTTTTCGATCTCACTGACAAGCCTTATTCAAGTCTTTGATTAGAAATTTTTATCCACAGAATATGGTTTTCGAGAATTTTTTTCATGTATAACCAATCTCAAAGAAAAATAAGATTTGGATTCAGTGACGATTAGAATGTCTGCCGTAGGTGTGATGTTTATAGGCGTCAACATAAGTGACTGATATGGTCTCATACCTGAGTCTTAGAGTGAATTAATCGTAAAGTTAGAGATCGAATTACTGACTACATTAATAGATGGTAAATTGTTGAGTTAAATAGTTCTTCGTCATCATGAGAACCTATGAATATCGAAATTCTCAAAGAACACTTCAATGGGTTCACGCTATGTTAATTTTGTGCGTATGATCTACTCATACAAATTTTTGGTGAGGGAAGTGTGAGCACATGTACGGAATGATGCATATAGGACAAGATTATAAGGATGACTAGGAAGGTTCGCTGAGTAGACAAGTTAGTGAGCGCCATAAATGTAACGTCTTTGTCCTAGATTGTTATTAATTTATGGGTGGTAGTTACAGTAAGTAATGGCTTTAGAACCAGGAATGCCTGTTGAGCGGCTGCCTTATAAACAACAATCTAAGACAAAGACATTACATTTATGAAGTGGGTGTGCAAACCATAATGACAACAGTGTGACATGATTAAAGCTTCATTGCAATTCATTTGTAACGTTCGAATATTTGTCTACTGTGGTGTTTGTATAAACAAATGATTCCTTTGTACTTGATGACTGCCTGATTACGAATTCCGAATGCATTACGTGCGTTTGTGCTCATCTAGTACTTCTTGGTCAAATCGCGTTATTTCTGGGATCCATAGATTGTACTGCCATTTAAATGCTTCAAACTATGGCATCTACTTAACACGGCCTGTAGGTCTTCTAAAGTTACTGCCAGTGGCAGGTTCAGGTAAAGGAGTAGGGTTGGACGTAGGGTCGGCAATCACATCCAGTAGAAAACAATCTTGCTAAAAGACGCAAACCAGAATAAACAACTAAACCATTTAAACTCTGCCTAGGGAGTTGAAGGATATTTATTTACAAGAACTAGAAGAGCCTCATAGTGAAAGCTGAGAATCTTCAAATGTCACTGGACCGATGCCCTTCTAACAACCACAACAACAATTCTCATAAGTACATGAAATGTTCGGACAATGTGAGAGACCAGGAGGACCAGGCAAACAGCCACGGAAATGAGAAGATACGAATTGATGGTGCTTGGAATAAGTAAAACCCAATGTACCGAAGCTGAACAAAAAGGATAGACTTGGGTGAGATATTGTTGTACTCTGGTCCAAAGAAAAAATGCTCCACACAGGTAGGAAGTTGTTTCGATGATTTCCAAAGAGGCACGAAATGAACTTATTGGATGAGAATCTCATGGATCCGGGATCATCAAAGTATCCTTCGAAACAAAGAAGGAGGGGATCATAATGAACATTATCCAATGATATGCATCCATCAGTGATAACAATGAAGATCAGTTTTACGAAAGGCTAAAATGGATCATAAGCCTGACAATGTCTGCTTGAAGAAGATAAAACTACTGTGGATGAAAACTGGAAAGGGATCAATGAAGCACTAACTTCAACGTGTCAGGAGGTGCTGGGTCGCAAGAAGTATCATCACAAGGAACGGATCTCTATCGAAAACCCAAACAAGATTCAAGAAAGGAAGAACAAGGAGACATCAACTAAAACAGTGGAACAAGAACAGAGGATGTCAAGGTGCAAACTGAATACACTGAAGCAAACAAGCAGGTGAAGAGGGGCATTATCGCTGAAAAGCAGAAATATACGGAAGACCTGGTAACGACAGAAGAACAGGTCGAAAGAGAAGGGAATATGAGACAACTATATGACACAACGAAGAAACCGGAAGAGAAATATAGTAAACTGGAGAGACCAGTCAAGTACAAAAAAGGAAAGATAATGAATGAGATTCGAGAGCAGTTGACCAGATGGGTGGGACACTTCGAGGAACTCTTGAATAGACCAGTTCCACTGAAACCATCGGACATCGAAGCAGCACCTGAAGACCTTCCTTTAGGTGTTACCCTACCAACAGTCGAAGAAATGGGCGTGGGCATCAAGTTACTTAAGATCGATAAAGCAGCAGGACCAGAAAACATACCAACTGGACGATTGAAGTTAGACATGAAGGTGATTGCAAAGATGCGCCACATTTCATGCAGACAGATTTGGGAGGGAGATCAAGTCCCATCAGACTGGAGAGAAGAACAGTTCATCAAGATACCAAAGAAACGGGATCTGAGCAAATGTGAGAACTACAAAGGCATCACATTATTATCGGTAGCAAGAAAAGTTTTCAACACAGTGTTGCTGAACCGGATGAAAGTTTCAGTAGACGTCCAACTTCGAGATCAACATGCTGGATCCGGTAAATATCGGGACATTTTGCAGTAACTGATCGTTTGACGTATGAAAATGACATTCTAGTGCCGGTTTAACAAGTTGAAATAAAACGTTTTCCCTACTTGTTTAAAAATGACTGAGGTACCTCAACATCTTGATACTAACCGATGGTAGGTCTACAGGTTATCTAATATTGACTTATCATGAACTAACCTGTGGTTTTCCTAATAATGTCTTACCGACTGTTCCCACCTAAGACTGATCATGTGAAAGCACGATTTTTTAAGTTCAGAGGCCAAGATCGAAACGTTCGCTCCAAAAAATTTTTTGTTTAATCCAGTCATAAATCACCAAATCCTTTTTCATAATGCTCCGCAACATCATCTGCTGATACGTACTGATATGTCACAGGTATTCAGTGTTTGACAACGCTTCTACCAGTAACACCTAATATATTTCGTTCCCACCAAGAGAAATCAAAAGACAGAGTCGAGGAGATCGGAAGAGTATATTTGGCGATGACCAATATACCGGGATTCTCTGATCTAATCTGGCTAGCGATTGTGGTTGATGTTGAGCACGGCGTTACCACACGTGATCTGGTGCGGATGCCTGACCGAGCGCCTTCAGCTAGATGAGTCCACTAAAACATATGGTCAGCATCCAATGTCGAAAACTTACAGAGCTATTTATTTTAGGGATTTATTTACCGCTACAGATCACTCCCCCCCTAGTGGGGCAGTGACGACCCTAAGACGTGGCCAGCCAGAAGTTTAAACCCAACGAGTTTGTCGTTGGTAAACACTCTTCTGATAGCTTACTAAATTTAGCAGCGTCTGGTCGTCTTTCCTTACTATATGGGACGGAGGTACAACATAGTAAAAAAATGTACAATGAAAATTTCGGATCCTCATAAACGTCATCGTTCTTTTCCAGCCGTCCTGGAAAAGAAAAAAGAAAATGTAAGTGCATGTCGAAAATACACTCGTATATGCGTAAAAACACAAGGTCGGCGGAAAAAAAATGGAAAATAAACTCATGAGCACGTAATAGCGTTAAAAAATTGTTTTTTTTTGTTTTTTTTTTTAATAGAAATAAAAATATATAAGCATATTAAAATTGTTTTTTTTTAAAAAAAAATAATATAAAATGTCGAGAAGTGCCTTACGTGCAATAGTCGTTTAAATGTTCTGGAAATCTCACCCTTCTTCCAGAACGCGTCGTTTTAAGTTTATTTTCGGATACTGTCGAAGTATCTTCGTGTGTGTTGGTTGTCGGATGAGGTATTATTAGTGTCTGAGTCGTGTCGTTCGATTGTACCGAAGGAAAATCGACGTGGATAGGATTTCCTTCTAAATACGCTGCTTTTAAGCGATCGATGCTGATGCTATCGTTGGTTCCGTTCTTATCGACTATATAGTACTTAGATTCACGTTGAAGAACTTTGAAGGGTCCTTCGTATGCTGATTCGAATGGTCGTCGATGCGAGTCTCGACGAATGAAAACGTGTGTACTATATCGTAAGTCAGGTTGAACGAAAACATCAGTTGATTGAGGTCGAGTGGAAGCAGGTTTAACTGAACGCATTGCGTTTGTAAGCCTGTTCGTGTAGGAGGTTAGATCCATGTTCATCGAAGAGCACGAAGGATCCACGAATTCTCCTGGAAGTCGAAGTGTCGTTCCATAAACGAGTTGAGCCGCAGTGTATCCAATGTCAGCTTTCACTGCATTGCGGATACCTAGTAAGACGAGTGGAAGAGCGTCGGTCCATTGTGAAACGTTTGCAGCTGATAGCGAAGCTTTCAGTTGTCGGTGAAAACGTTCTACCAACCCGTTTGCTTGTGGATGGTAGGCGGTCGTTCGGAAGCGAGTGATTCCTAAAAGTGTGGTCAGACGACGGAAAAGATCAGATTCAAACTGACGTCCGCGGTCTGTAGTGATGGTTGAAGGGCAACCGAAGTTTGCTACCCATCGTTCGACGAATGTGCGGGCCACTGTTTCAGCAGTGCTGTCCTTGATAGGTACTGCTTCTGGCCATCGAGTGAAACGGTCTACGCAGGTTAAGAGATAAGAGTATCCATTTGAATCTGGTAAAGGTCCTACCAAATCCAGATGAACATGGTCGAAACGAGCATCGGGAGTTTTAAACGAGCCTAAGGGACATTTATTGTGTCTGATAACCTTAGATTTTTGGCAGCTTACACAGGAGCGTGCCCACTCCCTCACGTCTTTATTCATGCCAGGCCAGCAAAATCGTTCTGCTATAAGCTTGATGGTTGCACGAACACCTGGATGAGAAAGTTTGTGCAATGTGTTGAAGACATTGCGTCGATAATGTTTCGGCACGATTGGGCGATCCCTACCTGTAGATGTGTCACAAAGTAAGGTTTCCTTACCTGTTCCCATCTGTTTGATGCGTAGTTTAA